CCCCAAAACCCCAAAACCCCAAAACCCCTCCTAAATACTCTAATATTGGGTTCATCCCAATCATGGAGATTAGGACTTTCAATTTTACAAACTTTATGGCTAAAATAGCTTCTATTCGTAATGGTGCACGTTTGGAAAAGATGCCTAATGCTGTTGACATCCAGCTCATTCTGGAAGAGCCAGGCTGGCGGGCAGAGAATTAAAGACCTTCATTGAAGATTAATATTTCGATTCACCTAGTTTGATAATCATTCTTGAAGATACTCTATTTTCTCTTGAGAGAAAGGGAAGAAGTCTAGCTGAGGAGAGTTGCCAGCTTGGTAATAATCTTTCTGAGTATCTCCTCTTGAATAAAGTCACTGAGCCCTTTTGGCTTCAGACATCAGAGGTTTTCTGAATGACGAGTTTTTCTAGCTTAGGAAGTTTTATCTAAAATTAATTTAATTAATTTCTTTCTCTGTCAAAATGTCGATTCATAACTTTTTAAAGCAGAATTAAACTGTCAGGCCAAACCTTTCTAACCGAGTACAATCTAGAAATCATCCATTTAGTCTTTGAGATTGTCTCGTCAACTCTCAGAGTAAGATATGCTTATAAAAGCTAGTATTCGGTCAATTTGTAGCCAAAAAATATCCGAAAATTTCCATGAAATATATGGAAATAAATTAGATTTTGAAGAGGACTCTCAGAGGCTCTCTTCTATCCTTCTAAGAATAAGAGCTTACTAAGATGTGCTTTACACTTTATCATCAATTATCTTCCATCTGTTGGTCCAGAAAGATAAGAGTTGTTTGAATTTATCTTACCTTTGTTTGTTTCACTCTTAACTAGAAGCCTAAACTTACCCTATCTGGTGATGAATATTTATAATCGAATCAAGCTCTTAGCTTATTTTTAGAGCCGATAGAGCCAAATTAACAAGATTTGTATCATGGAAGCTGACTTGGTCCTATATTTGGTAATCATAAGGCTTCTTTGCAAACAACTTTATTAATGGTTTTTCGAGTAATTTTGAGCTGAAGAGGCAAAGGTGATTCTACTTCGAGCCATCTCTTGTGCTTCAAAGCCATTTTATTTAATTCTGGTTTGCCTCAAATCCACTGATTTACCTTGGATTTTATACAATTGCTGGGCCTAATCCTATGTCAATCTTAAAATGGCTGCTTTATACGAAGAATGGACTGTCTGAAAAGAACCCTAATGGCCTCTTGCAATTCTACAGATGCCAACAAATCTCTTAAAATCTAGCCATATCCATAGATTATAAAACAGCCTTAGTCTCAAGGGACTAGAGCATTAACCGATACTATTTTCATTAGTGTTCCTTCAGATTGTTAGTTATATATTTTAATTAATAATTTCCCAGAAATGGAAAAATCTGGATTAAGAAATTGATAATTTTGGGCTAATTCAAATGATTATCGTTAAGACAAACCAGTTGAAAAAGATTCATAAATGAAAGAGTGAGAGCCCCAGTCGTATAATTGATGTCTTCCTAATAAAAGACTTATAATGCTCCCAATGATGATGAATTAAGTTGGTATATCAACTTAGCAACTTAGTTAAAGTTTTTTGACAAAAAATACTAAAAGGGTTTCTTCTTTACTGTATTAATGCTTTAATGCTGACTGGAGAGAAGCCTTAGAAACTTCATCCTTGTTTTCTCAGCTAATTATTAATAATAATGGTTGATAAGTCTACAAGAATCCCTAGTCTAAGGCAATAAGGCAGAATGCAACTGATCCACACACCCTGACACAGCAACAATTTGCCTCTTAGAATTTTAAGATGAGAACTTGAGCTCTATATCATTGGACTGAACTCTTCAACCTTCATAATAAAAGTATACACCGCTATTGTCAGAAGAGTGCTCTTAACTTATTTAGAGATCCGTCCTAAATAAACAAGGTTTAAATCTTGGAAGGAAAACATTCAGTTTGACAACTAGTCACTGCATTTCTTGACATGCCTCGGGTCCAAGGATAAATTCAATGAGAAAGAATCAGAATATGGCTCTCCACTTAACAGTTTGAAGTAAAATAAGACTCTTTAATTAAGTTTATGATACAAATTTATTCAAACTTTTCAAAAGATCCAGAGAAGAGGCAAGTGCAGACTGTGAAAAGAGTAGAGCATATCATCAATTTTCATAGTGCCTAGTTCTGGGAAATAAGAAAGTAGGCCTTTTAATAATCTCTGTAAACTTAGAAGTCCTTTATATTAAGAGTACTATGTCAGACAGTTTTACTACGACAGCTTGAATTAGCTGAAACTAAGAAGACGAGTCATTCAAAAAGTAAAACTTTAGCTCAATATTTTAGAATAAATTGAACAGTCTGGTGCAGCTTAGCAATAGAGGCTTCATTAAAATTTTACTATCCATCTTAACAATAAGATTCCTTGAGCTATTACATGGGATCTCTATATAAAAACTTAAAATTTTAGCTTCATAATAATAAAAATGGATTTGAACAGTTTTTCTAGAAATGCAGATTTGTTTTGTGGATCGTCCTGGAGCTACTCTGGCATCATCCAGAAGCTTAGTGCTATGTACTGAGCATGCCAACCACAGGAGGGGACATTAGTCTATCATGATTACTGTGACTGCTCTTCTCAGAAGCCGCCTGCGATGTCTGTTGCTCAATTTAGCATTGATGAATCTCGACAAACAGCCTCTGATATGAAAATTTTTCATCAAAAATCTGAGCAAATTCCTAATGCTAATGTATCTAAGCATAAACTTAAACAAGATAAACAGTCTTCTAAAATTGTTGGTAAAAGAAGCAGAAAGACTACAGAAATTGATATACAACAAAGCCTCCTTAACCTGAGAAATCAGATTCTCAATCGAAGAGTGACTGGGTTTAACCGTTCCCAAAAGAGGGCAAGATCAGACAATTCAAAATCTCTCAGAAGAAGATCTCATTACATTGGAGTTTCCAGAAACAACGATAACTGGCAAGCTCTCATCAATGTTGACCAAGTCAAGAGCTATATTGGCACATTCACAGACGAGCTCGAAGCTGCCAAAGCATATGACTTGTACTCAGTTGCAATAAGAGGCCAAGAAGCCGCTCTAAACTTCGACTACAGCGCTGAAGAGATGCTGGAAATAATTGAAGATTACCTTAAAACAAGGAAGTAAAGTAAATTATTAACTTTTTATGACCCAAATGTTCACTAATTATTTCTTCAACAACTTAATTATAACCCGGGGTTTTGGGGTTTTGGGGTTTTGGGG